TAAAAATTATATTTTTATCATTATACAATTTTATTATTGTACATATATATTATATAATATATATAATTAAATATATTATATATATAATATTAATTATATAATATAATAATATAATATATTAAATATATAATATAATAATATAATATAATGTATTATATATATAATATTAATTATATAATATAATAATATAATATAATGTATTATATATAATATTAATTAAATATATATAATAAATATATTATACAATAATATAATTCATGTTTCAGAAAATTAACTCGGACGATTTTCATTTTGCACAAAGATCCGCGGTCCAGTTACGTCTCTTCTCATCATCCTGATTTCATAGTCCGATCGAACAGCTTCCGAGGCAACGAGAAATTTTTATAAAAATAGCTCCATGTTTCATGCCTCTTACAAACGAAGAAATAACAACGTACATATTCGCGGCAGCTGGGACAAAGCGCGTGGAACAGTCATTCGTCTTTCGTGAATGCACCTGCACGAGTTGCTCGAACGCAACGCGCGCCGTCGTTCAATGCGCCATTGTTCCCGCTCCATTGAGATTTTTGTCGAAGTGTTTATTTACCCGGGTGTATCAAAAGGTTCGGCGCGCGCGCATCGCGGTTCGTGGACCGGGAAATATCATTTAGAGAGAGATCGCGGGTCACGAGATCGAATCGTTGCTCGCGGCAACGATTTATTTTGATTCGGGCTCGATTCGGCTAGTTATTTGAAAGGTGTGCGCTCCGCGCTCTGCTGACGCAAACGCTCGTCGAAATATCCGGAATGGGCCGGAGGCAGACCGGAGTACATTTAATTTCGTCGAATTCGTTTACGCTGCTGCTCGCAGCAGCCGCGTGTCTCTGAAATACCGCGGGGCCGAGAATAAAACAAAAATCCGCCGGAGCCGTTCCAGCGGCCGCGCGACTCGGCCAACGACGCTCGAACGCCCGACGGTCGAACGGAATCTGTCCGATATCTTATTACCGTCGGACGAGAAAATGACGTTTCCCCGGAAATAATCGGACGAGTAAATAATCGGCGCGGTTAAAAGTCTGTTCTTTCTTCCCGGATCGTCGAAGACGAAAGAATTCGTTTTAAGCTGCGGGATACGCGTGCGACAAATTAGACATATTTGCAGTCAATATCATAAAATTCAAAATAAGTTTAAATAAACTGTCGATCTAAAACGTTGATTCGCGGATTCTATATTGTATTAATAATAGCGTTTAGTTCTGTATTGTGAAAAATGATTTTTAAACCGTGTATTTAAGTAAATTAAATTATATTAAATTCAATTACATTACATTATATTAAATTCAATTACATTAAATTATATTAAATTCAATTACATTCAATTATATTAAATTGAATTACATTAAATTATATTAAATTCAATTACATTATATTACATTTAATTATATTAAATTATATTAAATTACATTAAATTATATTAAATTCAATTACATTATATTACATTAAATTATATTAAATTCAATTACATTATATTACATTAAATTATATTAAATTCAATTAAATTAAATTAAATTATATTAAATTCAATTACATTATATTACATTAAATTATATTAAATTCAATTACATTAAAGTATATTAAATTATATTAAATTCAATTATATTAAATTATATCAAATTAAATTAAATACTAGTCGACAGTATGTCCAAGAACACGTTTTCTTCTCTCTTCGAGTAGCCTCGCGCACTGCTCGACCTTTTCCCGCACCGAATCCGCGATCTTGGTAACCTCGAAACGAACCGAACGGCATTTTACACCAAAAGGCGAACGCTTTCGTTGGCATACAAAAAGAATCGATTCCTCTTTATCGGCTAATCTCCGTGCAAATCAACGTCTCTCGGCGGAAAGACAAGGCGCGCGAGAATTCCCGACGAAGTCTAGGAGAATTCCGTTCGAGGAAAGACAGATATTCGCAAGTCGCAGGGCGCGCAGCCACACGGGGCTGTCCATGGGATCTCGTTGTCGGTCCGAAGTCCGATTCCGCCGATAAGTAAGTCGGTGATCCGCGACGCCACGTGGTGACGGGCCGATCGGCGGCGGAGAAGCGGAAAGAAATCGCAAGGTGGCCGGGGACGGGGATAATAAAACGTCGCGACGACAGTGTGTGCACGCGTCTCGTGACGACACGCTCGGATTATATTTAGAGAAATACGTCAGAAGAGCCGGCCGCGGAGAGGTCGAGGCTCCGGACGCGGCCGACGAGCTTTCGACAGGCCAGACTGTTATGGAGCTCTGTCGCGGAAACTTCGCCGCGAAGATATCCGCGCGTTTCGCAGCGTGTTTCTCAGCGTGCTCCGCAGCGGGAAACCTCGAGCAGTGACTCGCGTTCCTCTCCGCGTTTCTCTTCCTCGAAAACAACCTGTCGGACGATTCGCAACGATTCGCTGCTCCACGTGCTCGCCGAAGCTCCACGCTGCTCCATCCTCTCGGCTTCGGCTTCGGTGAAACCTTCCTTCGATTCTGCTTCCGCTGCCGTCGAAAGTGAACATCGAGTGCGACAGGTGGTCGAGACGGTTGTATCGTTAGCTAATTAATTTTTTCGTACTTTTTACATACGAATTCCAACGATCGGCTCGTCTCGCGAGCTTCGTTTTCTTCAAAACTCCGAAGCTACCGAGCAATTAGAGCGTCGAACGCGCGTCGCTCTGTAAGAACGGCGAGACTAAATTTATTCGGACTTTGTGTAGTTTTTATTACAACGAATACTTGGATTAAGAAGTTTATTCGAGCATTTCCTACGGGAGAAGAGACTCCGTAATTTCAACGATTTCGAAACGCGAGATGCGAGACCGTTCGTTTCGATCGTCTTGGTAGGTTTAGTCTTTTGTCTAATAATTTTATTCCGCAATGATTGAAAGCATGGAAGAACCGATCTCTTCCTTTCGGAAGAAACGATCGAATAGATTGCTCTATCGAAGCTGACACCGCGACAAAAGTGGCGTTCGATCGGTAGGTTTAGTCTTTCGTCTAATTTGAGGAAGATCTCGCAACATTTATTCCGAAATGATTGACAGCATGGAAGAAACGATTTCTTCCTTTCGAAAGAAACGATCGAATAGATTGTTCTATCCAAGCTGACACCGCGACAAAAATGGCATTCGATCGTCTTGGTAGGTTTAGTCTTTCGTCTAATTTGAGGAAGATCTCGCAACTTTTATTTCGAAATGATTAAAAGCATCGAAGAACCGATCTCTTCCTTTCGGAAGAAACGATCGAATAGATTGCTCTATCGAAACTGACACCGCGATCAAAGTGGCAAAACGTCTCGATAAATTCTCGCCGATTCTCCCGAAACGACGGTGTCGCGTCTATTTTTAGAGCTCGATAGGTTCGGCGTTAATTAACGGGAGAACGGTTGGAGAGCTCTCCCGAATTCCTGGATTAACGAGGTGTCGAAAAGCGATCGCAGAAGCGTCTTGATTGATCGCAGCGCGGCGTATCGATAAAATTGCGCGCGGATGATGCACAGTGGACCGTTTGTGGTCGGGTACGCGATCCTATCGGCGACTCGCGGCTACCGCGAATTAACGTCGTTAGCTAACGCGCCATAAGTGGGCCTCTCTGATGCCGTGTTAATTCCCTGCAACGCGTGTCGAATATTAAACGCTCGTATCCCCGGCGGAATGTCTCGCGATTAATATCAGCGGCTCGCCGGGAGATTTATCGCATCGCGACGGAATTTATGATAATAAATCGCGCGCGGTGTGTTCGCCTCGACGACGTTACCAGTTTCGAAAATTCGTTGCGGACAAATGCAAAATGAGCCGTTTATTTTGAAAGTGGCATAAGTCGCTTTTACAAAAAAATCGTCTTAATGGTAACGCTAATTACAATTGAACGGTATCTTTTCATTTAAAAAGAAAAAAAGAAGGCAGAAAGAAGAGCTTGACCCTTCGAGTCCCAGGGTTTATTCGGAAAACACGGTCGAAAAATGCCGAACAGCGTGACAACGCTTGTCTTAATTAATTGCGAAGAGAACCAAGCGCTGCTTGGGACTCGAACGGTTAATGGAAGTCGCGGTCTCGTTTTTTTTCGACGCGGTAAAAATATTTACGAACCCGCCATTGTTTCGGATCCCTCGGCCGGGAATTATTTATTACTTCCGTGAATTATTTATCGAACGCCGAGTTTCCACGAACCGAGTCTCGAGTACACTCGGCCTCTTCCGCGAAGCGCGTACGAAGAACCCCGATCGTGTTTGGCCACGTCTTTAGAGCGTCGCTTTTGAATTTCAAATCGTGTCAGCGTCCTCAAAGTCTGCGCGCCGATGTCGCGCCAAAATATTGTCTCTGCGTTTTAGCGGTAGGGAAAGGAATTTCTTCAACCGTTTGCGTACCAGATGGTTCTGAAAAATCAGGATCGAAGAGCGCCGAAGAGTGCGATAGCGTTTCTTCAATTATGTGTCGATAAAAGCCGAAGAGCGCAATAGCGCTCCTTCGATTATGTATCGAGAAAAGCCGAAGAGCGCGATAGCGCTTCTTCGATTATATGTCAAAGAAAGCCGAAGAGCGCAATAACGCTCCTTCGATTATGTGTCAAAGAAAGCCGAAGAGCGCAATAATGCTCCTTCGATTATGTGTCGAAAAAAGCCGAAGAGTGCGATAGCGCTCCTTCGATTATATGTCGAAAAAAGCCGTAAAACATAAAATAAAACGTTATAAATGAAAATATATATGCTATTAATTTAGAATAGGTAACAACAAAATGCAAATTGGATTACTGACAGCGACGCGACGCGCGACGTATACATGCGTCCGAAAGACCGAGCACGTTTCGACAAATTTCGGGTGGGCCGTAAGTCGTCTGTTTCGGCCAAATGCCCTGGCTTTTCTCGACGTAAAATCTGAAGAGCGCAAAAGTGGCTCGTGGTACGCAAACGGTTAAAAACCGCGCCGTGTCAAGATTAATTTATAACCTCGGCGATCCTCTGGAAATGCTAACGAACCTTTTCTTCGCGGTTCCAGGAGCAGAGAAGCCTGAAAGCTGGCGATCTCTCGCACCAGGAGAGCAACAACATGGCGGCGTCCACCATGAAGCTGCAGAGCGACTCCTTCAGCTCCGAAAAGGTGAGCGATCGATGCAAACAAGTCCGCGCAAAATCGAGGGAAGAAATGGAGGGAACCTTGGTTCTCACGGTTTAGTCAATTTTAAGTCGATTGTAAATTCGCGGAGGTGCTTCTGTTGCATCTTTGTCAACGCCGAGCCTGCCGTGGCGGTCGAAATGACCGGTTTCGCGTCTTTTATTTAAACATTTTTATTAGCATAGAGCCGCTTTTGCAGCTTTCTTCGCGAGATAAAACGTGCCACAAAAAGTATAAAAATTCGCGACGCGGACCTACGACCCGACCAAATACGGTAAATTCTCCGCTAATTGACGAATAAATGATCTAATCTGAGAACAGGAGATACGATTATTCTATTTTATTATTCTATTTTACTTATTCTTATTATTCTATTTCTATTATTCTATTTCAACCCTTAACGGACCAATGCCGCCATATGAGCGGCATTGTATTGGGTTGGCAACTAAGTAATTGCCGATTTCAGTTATAGATGTCTCTCACTCCCATTTTTATGATATCCGTAAATGTTATATTATAAAATTATTATTATTATTATTATGTTATTTTTTATTATCCGCGAATGTTAGCAACTGGGCAAATTGAATGCAGCGGTCGAGGAAAAGCGACCAGAATTGGTCGATCGTAAAGATGTCATTTTCCAGCAGGACAATGCTAGGCCGCACGCGTCTTTGTCCACTCGGCAAAAATTGATGGATATTTGTTGGGAATCGATGTTACACCCACCATATAGTCCTGATCTCGCGCCATCGAATTACCACTTGTTTCGATCCCTGGACAACTCCCTTCGTGGTAAAACTTTGAACGACGATGACGCTGTAAAATCTCACTTAACTCGGTTTTCGGCCGAAAAGGATCAGACTTTCTACGAGCGTGGAATTTTCAAGTCGTCAGAGAGATGGCAAAAGGTCATCGAACAAAATGGAAAATACATTACAGATTAAACTTCGTTCCAAGTAAAAAAAAATTTGTTATCTCATTGAACAAATCGGCAATTACTTAGTTGCCAACCCAATAATAAAAACGTCGAGATGTCTACATAAATTCAGCTTTGTAGTTTCCATGAAATGTGTTAGGTCTGAAGTGTCAGACGACTTCAGCGTTCGGTGGGCTTAGCGTTAAAAAGTTCCTCTTTCCTCCGTGCACGTTGCACCGTTGCACCGTTGTTGTAGTCCCTTTCCAAAGACCCTAAAATACTTCCCCAAACTGGAGCACCATGCCCAAACTGTCCAGCGGTTGGTCGCAGGCCCCAGGCGCTTTCCGTTTTCGAAGATTTCCTACAAGAATTTGTTCGGCCGCGTTCCATTCCACTTGGCCCGCCACCAAGAAATCTGTTTTCCCCGGTCAGCCGGCCACAAATCTTCCCGTTTGATAGCGTCCGTGTCCGTTTGGCTTTTGACGTAGGCCAGACTCGGTTCTCTCTCTGCGCTCGAGCGATCGAGCACAGCACGTTGTCAAAGTGGGATCCAACGCGGATTTAAACGCGCGTCGGATCGCCGGCCGCGTTCAGTCGTTCACGTTTCCCCGAGCGTCGCGGATCCTCGTTTCCTCCCGGCCGAACGGAAGCTGCGAGACCATGAGGAAGTGGAGCCTCGACTCTAGAATGGTACGCGCGTCGTCTTCTCCTCCTCCTTCGCCGTGTTCGATCTCCGGTTCGAGACGACGTTAGAAAACGTTCTTCGAAAAGTATATTTCCGTCGAGACGCGGCGACGGTGGTGCTCTCTCCGAGGGATGGGAATGTTTGCCGAGTTGCGTGGCGTTACAGAAATAATGTTTACATTATCTACGGCCGGCGGACGTGACACAGACCGCGTGATAACTCTCCTCGGCGTGGTCCAAGCCTCGATTCTTCGATGATCAGTGCCAGGAGTGCGTTCCGTCAGGTCGAGCCGAAACGACTCCTCTCGTTCTCGAGCATCGGAGACTGCTCTGTGGCGGTTCTCTGCCCGCGTCCGTTCTCCAAAGTATATTTCTCAGCGCGAGATCCACAGCCCTGTCGACAAGATTATCTTTCTCAATCTCTTCGCGTTTGGACGAGCAAATATGAATCGTTGAAGTAGCTTGTATCTTCTCGCGTGATACAGAATTTGGCGAATAAACTTTGCTTGGAATATTAGTTACGGTAATGTCTCTCTAATTGACGCTCAGATTGTGCACGGAATTGGACAGTTTGGGAAGGCGAGATACGATTATTCAAGCCTTAGCACTAAACCTAGCAAGCAGTAATACTAACGCATGTAATGCTTCACAGAAGTGAGAAGACCGAATTTATTTGGAATTTGTCAAGTTTTTATTATAAAACTTGCTCCAATGATGTAACTTATTCAAGCATTTTCCACGAAAGAGTCTCGAAACTTTGCAGAATTGCAAAATAAGAAAGCGGTCACTCTGACCGCGGGTAGGTTTAGTGTTAAATCTCGTTTTTATAGTTGTTGATAATTCGTAACTGTAAAACGAGAAGCAAGACTCAATTTAATCGTATCTCCTTTTCCAAAATTGCCCATTTTTCTGCACAATCTGAGCGTCAATAAGGGAGACATTACTGTACATATGGAAATACGATAATGTCTCTCCAATTGACGCTCAGATTGTCCACAGAAATGGACAATTTGTGGAGGTGCGATTATTAGAGCGTTGCGGCTCGTTTTTACAGTTGTTGACAATCGATAACCATAAAAAAGCGAGTCACGAGGCTCGAACAATCGTATCTTCTCTTCCCAAACTGTCCATTTTTCTGCACAATCTGAGCGTCAATAAGGGAGACATTACTGTACACATGGAGATACAGTAATGTCTCTCCAATCGACGCTCAGATTGTCCAAAATTTAGGAAGAGGAGACACGATTATTCGAGCTTTGCAGCTCGTTTTTATAGTTGTTGACAATCGATAACCATAAAAAAGTAAGTCACGAGGCTCGAACAATCGTATCTTCTCTTCCAAACTGTCCATTTTTCTGCACAATCCGAACGTCAGTTAGGGAGACATTACCGTAGCATTTTCAAACATATTTAACTACTATATCACGCGACAAGATACAAATATTTATGGTCCATTCACTGTTTCAAAAAATCTATTTTCTCGAGTAAAACGACGCGAAATCTTCGGGACCACAGTAAAATCCTCGCGAATCCTTGAAAACCAAAGGCGCTAAAACTGATCCTCTTCTCCTCTTCCAGAAAGCCATGGCGGCGCAGCAGCAGCGCCAGACGGTGACCTCCACGGGGATCTTCAACCACGAGAAGCACATGGCGTCCAGCTCGCAGTCCAGCATCACGATAGCCTCGAAAGGTGTGACCTCGAAGTCCTCGATGATCTCGGCGGCGAACGCGGTGAACCAGCTGATGAACGGTATGAGGCCGGCGGAGGACGAGCTGTTGTCCCTGCCTCTGGACGACCTGGATCTTCTCTGTTCGAAGTCGAACACCCAGGACGTGGACAGAGCGATCTCGAAGTACTGCAGCTTCCTGGACAGTTTCGTGGAGCGGCTGAAGGCGGACGACGGGAAGAACGGGAAGGCGCCGTTGCTGTTGAACAGGGTGAACGAGATCATCAGGAAAGCGTGGGCGGTGCCGACGCACGGCCACGAGTTGGGCTACACCCTCTGCAACACGTTGAGAACCAGGGGCGGCCTGGACCTGTTGATGTCGAACTGCGTGGCGAGCGACCACGAGCTGCAATTCTCCTCGGCGAGGCTGCTGGAGCAGTGCCTGACCACCGAGAACAGGGCGCACGTGGTCGAGCACGGTCTCGAGAAGGTGGTGAACGTTGCCTGCGTGTGCACCAAGAACGCGAACTCGGTGGACCACTCGCGAGTCGGCACCGGGATCTTGGAGCACCTGTTCAAGCACAGCGAAGGCACCTGCAGCGACGTGATCAGGCTGGGCGGCTTGGACGCGGTTCTGTTCGAATGCAGGAAGAACGACGTGGAGACCTTGAGGCATTGCGCCGGAGCTCTGGCGAATCTGTCGCTGTACGGAGGCGCGGAGAACCAGGAGGCGATGATCAAGAGGAAGGTGCCGATGTGGCTGTTCCCTCTGGCGTTCCACAACGACGACAACATCAAGTACTACGCCTGTCTGGCTATCGCTGTGCTGGTGGCCAACAAAGAGATCGAGGCGGCCGTGCTGAAGTCGGGCACCTTGGACCTGGTGGAGCCTTTCGTCACCTCGCACAATCCCTACGAGTTCGCCAAGTCGAATCTCGCGCACGCCCATGGTCAGAGCAAGAACTGGCTGGAGAGGCTGGTGCCGGTGCTCAGCTCGAAGAGAGAGGAAGCGAGGAACCTGGCGGCCTTCCACTTTTGCATGGAAGCTGGGATCAAAAAGCAGCAGGGGAACACCGAGATCTTCCGGGCGATCGGCGCCATAGAACCTCTGAAGAAGGTCGCCAGCTGCCCGAACGCTATTGCGTCCAAGTACGCGGCGCAGGCGCTGCGACTGATCGGAGAGGAGATCCCGCATAAGCTGAGCCAGCAGGTTCCCCTCTGGTCCACGGAGGACGTTAGGGAATGGGTGAAGCAGATAGGGTTCGCCGAGTGCGCGCAGAACTTCGTCGAGAGCCGGGTCGACGGTGATCTTCTGTTGCAACTGACCGAGGAGAATCTCAAGGAGGACATAGGGCTGACGAACGGCATCAAGAGGAGACGGTTCACCAGGGAGCTGCAGAACCTGAAGAAGATGGCGGACTACAGCAGCCGAGATACCGGGAATCTGAATAATTTCCTGCAGTCTATCGGTCAAGAGTTCTCTATCTACACGTACAGCATGCTCAACGCCGGCGTTGACAAGGACTCCATCAGAAACCTTTCCGAGGATCAGCTGTTGACGGAGTGCGGCATCGCGAACAGCATTCATCGTCTGAGGATACTGGACGCCATCAAAAATATGCAACACAATCAGCTAGGCTCGTCCGAGGATGAGTCGCCCGATAAATCGTTGGACGTGTTCGTTAGCTATAGAAGATCGAACGGCTCCCAGTTGGCTAGCTTGTTGAAGGTGCATCTGCAGCTGAGAGGCTTCTCCGTGTTCATCGACGTCGAGAGGCTGGAGGCCGGCAAGTTCGACAACAACTTGCTGCAGAGCATCAGACAAGCGAAACACTTCCTCCTTGTGCTGACGCCCAAGGCTTTGGAAAGGTGTATACAGGACACTGAGTGCAAAGACTGGGTCCATAGGGTGAGTGTTCTTCCCTGCTTCTTGATCGTTTGTAACAGCAACTAACAATCCATATTGGCGATGAATAGTTTATTCAATACGTTCGTTTCTCTTTGCAGGAAATTGTTGCAGCGCTTCAGTCGCAATGTAATATAATCCCCATCATAGACAATTTCCAATGGCCGGAACCCGAGGAGCTCCCTGACGACATGCGCGCGGTTTGCCATTTCAACGGTGTGCGTTGGATCCACGATTACCAAGATGCCTGCGTAGACAAACTTGAAAGGTATATTTTCTATATTTTCTATATTTTTCTATATTTTTCTATATTTTCTTAAATACGTGCTGCGCAAATACCTCCGTCCGTTCCTCTAATTGTACCGTTTGGTTCTCTTCAGGTTTATGCGAGGCGAGATACCAGTCAGGTCGGACATGTCGGGAATTCCTAGAACCATCGCGTCCAAAGACGTGACCCAACCGAACACACCGTGCAACACGAACATTCGACAGTCCCCTAATTATCAGCGAATGCACAGCAACGAGAGCAGGGGCAGCGATAAAGATTCAACAGGTGGGCGGGATTGACTAGAGGGCCCGCCCACAGCTATACCGAGCAGGTCAGCATAATCGTAATTCCTGTTCAAGATTAAGCGACGCTGAAGTCTGGGGTGCAACGATTAACATTATTTTTTTTTCTTTATTTTCATGCAGCCAGGATTAACAATCGCAATAAGACAATCACGACTAGGTCAGTCCGTGACATCAATATCCGTGTTTAAACCGTGTAGTTGAAACAAAGGAAATACGATGAAGATTCTGTAAAATATGAATCGCATAATAGCCAATGAGAAGCCGATGGGCGTGACCCTGGACGGAAAAAGCTCGTTCTTGAATAGCCGCATGATTTTGTTCCAACTACACCCCGTGTCTTTTCAACTTGTCTTCCATGTTCTGCTTAATCATTGTGCTTCTCAGTCGACTCAATATATACTGCTATCCGTGTCTCCTATGTTAAAATTGTTGAGCACAGTGGCGCGCCAAAGTGTAAGCATGTGTTCCATCAAGGAGTTAGACTATTGTAATCTAAAAACACTGGTCTAACTCCGTCAGTGTGCATTCCCGTCGAGTCGAGCATCCCAGAAGTTATAAAATCGAGGTTATGTCTGTCGACTGCATGGTCGCTAAATGTAATTGCAAACGCACGATCATGATTAATGTATCGAAATAATCCGTACAATCTTCAAACTTCAGATTTAGAAAATCGTCGAGTCCGTCCCGTTGGTTAATGGGCCTGCCTCCCACGTCCCCGCGATTGAAGTTCACCCATACACACCCCGGTGGGAGTCCGGTTAACCGACGACCTCCGCGTCATCCTCCTTCGCCGTCCACGAGATCTCGTTCATTGGAGCTTCTAGACCAAGACGAGAAGAAGTCTGTCACTCCGATCAGGGAGCCAGAACCGCAGACAAGACCAAGGTCCAGAAGCTTGGACGGCTTACTAGACGAAGATGGTATGGTAGCAGAGATGAAGACTGAAGAGTCGGTCAAGCAGAAGCAAGACCAGGACAGCAGGACCGATTCCGAGCCTCCGGAGACTCTGAACAGACTCGCCGTCCCAAAAGTAGCTGTTCAGAGTGAATCGGAAACTGCGGAGAAGAAGGTGGAGGGTGGACAGATCAACGGCAAAGCTGTGTCCGAAGTTGCGAGCCTGGAGAACAGTTCCAAAGAGAATGAAGATCCAACGCCGGTTCCCAGGCAGCGAACGAGGACAAGCATGGAGGCAAAGGAAGCGAAGAGAACACCGGAAGAGCCCAACCACCGAGAAGAGAATCCACCCACGCGACCACCGAAACCGAACAGGTTCATCAGCATGGATGGACATCTCGTGACCACCGAAGAGGAGGGTTCTAGGGCTGTCTCCGACAACGCGGAGCTGAAGGAGCGACTGGTAGCCACGGGAAACGACAAGTCGACGCTGCTCAAGGCCAAAAGCTGTGGCGCGGGACTAGATTCCGACGAGAGCATTTCGTCCAACGAGTACAAGCCCAAAACGAAGGAGCAAGGATCGCTGTTGTCCCTGCCCACGGGGGCTGAGCCGAAACGCAAGAAGAACTTTATGGACAAATGCGTGAACAAGGTGCGGTCTTTCATGAGGAAGTGAAACGAGGCTTCCCGCGGTTATGGTGATAAAGACTATTATTAGATTTAATAAAGCTAATCGTAGCACGTCGATATTAAGTAAAGATCCTCGCGATACCCGAAGCATACGTATATATTCGTAGCGGAAGAATTGTTTTCGAGATGTACAGACAGTATTCCCGATCCCTCATGCGCGAACAATTCTCTTATCTTCCTTTCTCTTTTTTATCGCAGTAACCGAGTGTATATAATTGGAGATGTTCGAGAATGCGTATACAATAGGTATTTGTACAAAGGATTACTCGCCATTGATAATATTGCGAACGATCGTTTTTTCTCTCTCTGTACACTGACAGGCAGCATGAAAGTGTAACTGATGTTGTGCCTATAACAAAGTGTCTTCTTAGGAGTTCAGAGATTTTTGTCCGATGTAGACAGATATGAAAGTGTAGCCTGGTTTTTTCAGGTGGCTTTTATATATAATTATATATATATATATATATATTTCTTTATCGAATTGTATTATAGACATGTAAACGAGTAAGTAGGTAGCATTGTTATTTGTAATACCATTTTTTTAATACTCGAGTTCAAGAGTTTCGATTAACCACGTCTGCGATAGGTATCCCGTGACATTTCGTACAATGAGAGAAAGATTACAGAGAAGCAACCGGAAACTCGTGAACTCGAGTACTTCGCGGTTCTTTTTTTTAAGACGTCGAATATGTAACTTGCGACTAACATCGCGAGTCGAGGCAGCTAACACACATGGGAGTAACAGATATTTTGAACGTAACGATCGGTAACACTATTTTATCGCTTAACAAGACTTTCTATCACTGTTTAACCGATGACGTCCGCCGTCTAAGCTCGAACAAACTCTCCGCGACAGGGTTGGGCATTAATTGAAATTTTTTTTTATCAGATTTTAAATTGTAATAATATATCGGAAATATATTGCAACGAGAACGTATTTATTTGTACAGTGACTTATAATAATTGTTCGTGATAAACAAATTCTCATGCATGTTGTTAATCATTAATCGCACGAAACATTGCCCAACTCTTCTTGACTATAAGCGAACCTTACGAAGCTTCGATATTGTACTATTCTAAGATCCTGCCTAAGAATCGAGAAATGTATATTTTACCAAAGTTTCGTAAAGTAAAGTGTAAGAATTTTATCAGACGTTTTATTGTTTCCCACGAAATAAATTTTATTTAGCAAAATTTGATCGAATTTATGTTTTGTTACTATTAAAAGTCCGCACATGTATAACAGGTTAAGGTGCAAGTAAACTCGATGGAATATTTGCATCGTATTTATGAAAAGATCCTTCGGCAATATAAAAATACTTCAAGTTATATAACGTAATAAGTAATTTTCATACAATTTGTACAAACGTCGCACAGTAACTTTATCATTTATGTATAAAAAATATAGTGTAATAGTATTGTCGCCAGTTACTAACCAGCGTACATTTCCTTCGTAGGTACAGTAAGTATGTTACACTTATGCTAAGCGATTGTATCATTTATTCGCGACATCGCCTCTTCCTCTGAGTCTTCGGAGCAGCCTCACATCTTGAACCTGAAGAGTCACACGCTTGGCATGCATCGCTACTAGTATACAGTCTTCAAAAAATTGTACTAGATACGCTTCGACTGCCTCCTGCAGTGCTTCCAATGCAACTGAACTTACTCTAAAAAGATAAATGACCGTGCAAAATTTGGAACATGTTTTAAAAGCATAATACTAATTCTACCTTATATCATTGGGACTAGAGGACATTTCGGAAATAATGTCTCGCACTACACGACTGAAGGGACCTTTTGGTATAAGCATATGCACAGTTTTTTGAAAATGCTTGATTTCTCTTAAAACTAAGTTGCGTCTAATATCAGCTGGTTTTCTATGAGGTAAAACACTCACCTGAAAACATTTTTATTAATAATCATGAAATAATGAATTTGTTAAATAAGTTAAACATGTTGATCGCGTACCCTGGATTTTTCACGAACTGCATGTTGACTGCTGAATGATCTGAAACGAATATTTTCTATTTAGAAAGAAAGGAAAAGTCACGTTACAGACTTCTCTTGGCAACGACGCTATCATTTTGTACATTACTGTTCCAATACAACTATTAAACTAAATAATTAAATGTAGCCGTTAACTAACCTCGCATTAGATTTTCGCCGCACCATATTTTTCTCGTTCTTATGACAGAGTCAGCTTATTTTATGACACAAACGTCGAATGAAATTCAATATATGTTCAGATACGTACAATTCGTGGCAGTTTATTTTAACTGATTTTCAAATATTTTCATTCATAATTTGTACCCCAAAATGAGAACTTAAAAAATTCACCGAAAATTAGCACTCTTTCTCTACATATCTCTTCGTATCTTCTAAGTAACAATTGGATCCGTCAAACGCCTATATCTCGTATTACAATGTCCTTGATAAATCTAAATATACAAGAGCAACTTAACAAACTTGGGACAGTTATTGTATTCAAAACAGGATTTTTAAACGGCTCTGTAAACGTCACATGCAGGCGATGGTGGCGCCCCTAGTGGAGAAACATTGAAGCTCCGTTCGAGGTCCGTACAGCGCCAATTAGGATGGTGGAAAAACGCTCAAACTGTTAGCCAAAATCGACTGTCGGTAATTCGGTTAGCAGTTTGAGCGTTTTGCCACCGTCCTAATTGGCGCTGTACGAAGGCCTAAAAAAGCTTTCTCATTTCGTCACATGCGGCGCCACTGGCAAATATTAAAAATCGAAATTGATAGGAGAACTATAGGATAGTTCTTCTGTGGCAGCGGCAGCGTCAGTATTGCTCACCTGTCGAAAGGCCAGTCAAAAGACTACGTAGTTTTATAAAGTGTACAATTCTTATCTACATGTATATGTAATAGAGATTTAATGTGACCGACTATCTTAATGATAAACAGGCTACACTTGTACGATATACCCGAAAATTAGTATGCGGATCATTTTACGTTCTGCGAACTTAAGAATCCGTACTTGATGAAGAAAGATCTAAATGGAAAACCATTGAATGGATATTTCCACAATCCATTAATCGAAACCTTGATAGTGAACTTAATCAACAAGGTACAGTATACGTGTCTATAATCACATAGATATGCCTGTTAATTCTTCTGCGTTGTAGTAAATAATTCTTGCGCGAGTCAGTGTCATTTTCATTGTATGTTAAAGCTAACCTAAATCAAACTAATCGTACTAATTGATATATTCATAATTGTTTCAAACATATTTCTACGACAATTCTGTTCTTTTATTAGTCATCGAAACGAATCACTTTGCTTGCTTCTGAGAGGATTTTGTTTGTTAATTTTATTAGAGTAGTGTGCGATAAATAATTTTGCTTGCAGCTACGTTGAATGAAATTGCGCGTGTTAAAGCACGAAAAATTAATCATATTTAAGATTTAAAACAAAGAAGGCGTAAATACTAGAGAAGAAAATGTTGAAGCGTAAATACAGCGAGCGGGAAGATGAAAGAGCGCCAGCAAAGAATTCATTAGATTCGGATGAAGAAGATGATGCTGCCGAAGATAATTATAACATTATGAATGAGGATGAGTTTGAAGGTATGTGAACATTTAATAAATGAAGGTTTAAATATTCATTGCAATTATTAATACTTTGTACACGAGAGGTGATTGTCGAGTTGCAACAACTCGAGTGGTAACTCTCTCTCACCATTCGATTTGACGCGATACGTCGAGCGACGACTATGTTTATTTGCGTTTGATTTCTGGTGGCTAAGACTCGATGCCTGCATTCTGTGTAAAACAGTAAAAAGGCAGAGAAATGAACAGCCGCTTAGTCGTCTGCGATATGCGAAAGCCTTATTCGAGCAATTGAGTGGAGATTTTCGCCAGACTCGTGATCGAGCTTCTCCAGTTCAAGCTTCTGTTTCGAAGATATCCGTTTGAATGGAAAACTGCATGTCATTCTAACAGGAAATAGGAAGGAATGCAGGGTCTGCTCTGAACGGAATGAGTCTGGCAAAAGGCACCGGACAACATATTACTGCGATACGTGTCCTGACAAGCCAGGAATGCATCTTGGCAATTGCTTTATAAAATATCGTACTAAAGTACAGTACAGAGACTAATACTTAAGAAGTTTTTTTCTTTGAGATGTAAAGATACATGAGATATTAAAATATACATGTTTTATACATTAATTTGTATGTGCGATCATTGTAAGTTAGGGGTAAGCAATTCACCAAAATTGCCGCGAAATTTCTCGAGTTGCTGGTTCCCCCGAGCGAAGATCTCGAATTCAAAAGGTTAATCATTTATTCTCGATACTTAGGCGAAGAAGATGGTCCGACAGCTCCAGAAACAAATGTGGGTTTCACAGCATTTAACATGAAGGAAGAGCTAGAGGAAGGCCACTTTGATAAAGAGGGTCATTATCTTTGGAACAAGGAGAAAGAAATAAGAGATAATTGGTTAGACAACATCGATTGGATGCAGGTTTGTATAAAAAAAAAAGTGGCAATTAAGATTTATATATTCGAATAAGGCTGCTTGTTTGGGATAGTTTCGGTTGCGACAAGAACTGAATCATTAAGATGTAATAATACGTAAAAGTAGATTCGTTATTTCTATAATTGCTTCTTGTTCTTGGACTCCTGCACATTGAAATATCAGAATATGTTTTCATACAGCAATGAATAGAATTATCTGTAAACCCGCCTTGTTTACTCAGTGATGCAAAACATTACTAAGGCATAATCTTGATAGATCAAACCGAGTTCCACAGCAAGTGTAAAGAAGGAAAACAAAAGCAGTGGATTGGCTGATAGCGATAGCGACGATGGTCCTGATATTTTGTTCAATCCCGTTCATCTGTATAAACAAATTTTGGAATACTTGAAGCCTGGGGAAACAGTATCGAAGGCCTTGTGTCGACTCGGTAAGTGTTTCAATGCGTAAAACGCGATCTGAAAACACGTGTACTCATTGTATCAAATAACTTCAGGCAAAGGGAAAAAGAGATTAACCACCGCGGAAAGATGGAAGAAGAAAAAGGAAAAGAAGGAGGTGGAGGATGACGAAAATTCTGTGAGCATAACGAAATTAACAGAACTAGCGAACGAGTTGTTAACTCGTACCGGAAACATGGATATATATCAAGAAAGCTACGAACAAATCAAGAGAAAGGTAAATATATATGTAATATAATATAATATAATATATATAATAACGTATGCCGCAAGGTTTTAGAAACTTTTATTATATCGTTAAATTTGTACAGGTCGAGAGGTCCGAGAAACATGCCCATCCTTCGAAACAGGAGGCTGAGTTAGATATGTACGCCGACGATTTCGACGAGAAAGAGAAGGCGAAGTTGGACGACGGTGAAAGTAATTATATTTTAGCTTTTATTTAAGACACCCGAATGGATCGATCGAATTTTGAGACATTTAATACATATTCCAGACAGCGTCAGAGGTCCAGCGAACTCTAAGAAAGATGACACGCGAGAAGACGAGGAAGAAGACGACGAGGTGACGTGGGAATTGAAATGGTCGCAGGACGAAAACGCGGAAATCCATGGACCCCATACGAGTCAGCAGATGCACGCGTGGGCCAAAGAAGGATATTTCAAGGGCGGAGCGTGGGTACGACGAACAGGACAGAGCAATCAATTCTACAACGCCGCGAGAATGGATTTTGAACTTTATCTGTGATATACTTTCATTAGTCCCGTGTTGTTAATCGAAAAAAAAGTAATATTTTGACAATATCGTAGAGCTTGATCAAACAACTGTAATACTATGGGTTCAACGAGTCGAGTCCCTAACTGTAAATAAATGCACGTGACAACCATTTAGGTGATGACACGGTCGGGATTAGTCGAACAAAACCAGCAACGGGTGTCCGTTGCATTGATTACGTGCTTAGCACGTTGATATCTCGTTTATCTGCACCGGCTCGACTCGCTGAATAGACTATTGTGATCCATTCGGCATAATTGATATTCGATACGATTGAAAGCACCATCTAATTCAATAGAGAGAGAGAGAGAATGACAGAGACAGAGAGAGAGAGAGAGAGAAAGAGAGTATGAAACATGTATAATACTGTAACAAAGTTTAATGAAGAACCACTCGATGAGTTACAACCATGTAACAAGTGAAAAAATCGTTCTCGTCTTTATTTAAACTGATGTATCGTCAGTATTAAAAAATACTGAGTAACAATTAATTCGAAGTCGAGCACGCGAGAGAGAGAGAGAGAGGAAAGTGTCCATTCTTGATACATATCGCACGAATAAAGGACTATTCGTTTGGCAAACCACGGCGACGTTCTTTGACCATCTTTTACAAGTTCGGAGGATGCACACCCCTTTTACAGCGCACTTCGTTCCGCTGTCGTTGTACTAAACGGCATCCGGTACACCACTTAAATTACAAGGGAGAGAAAAAACCGAAACTCACACTCGCGAGGAACTTCCTGTGCATGCCCGATGGGAATATAGGGGTGGCGGAATTTATAGTTCGCGACGGGCCCGGCTATTTTTAAACCGGATTTTATCCCCAAAGTAAATCTATTTGTACCCGGGGCATAAAAACCTTGCGCGACACCACCCCTGTTTATTCAGCGGAGTGCGGTCCGATGTCGTCTCGTTGCTTTCGCGTCTTTCAACAAATAAATTCTAGACACTTTTCGACGGCCGTTTACCTTGACATACCGGGTAAATCGTGATCGACTGTTTCATCGAATGCTGCGGTGTTAAAACAATTAGCACAAGGACACATGAAGAGACAGGAGATCGGGATAATCGGACACAGACACAATCGTGATCGACTATTTCATCGAATGCTACGGTGTTAAAACAATTAGCAAGGACACACGAAGACAGGGAATCAGGATAATCGGACACATACAGAGAGAGAGAGAGTGAGAGAGACAGACGACACAGCACAAGACCAGCAGGAAGGATTCAACAGATGGACCGTGTGATACTGAATATACAATATAATTTTATTAGATATCTTAAACATTTTTATTAGCAATGTATGAAATTTCTATATGGTTACTTAAAATATTTCGTGTATGTAAGTAAATCGTACATACCATATGTACCCGTGTGAGTATGCGTTTTCATATTTATATTTTCATATATATACCTTTTGTCGTTATGTATATATATAAATCGGTAAGTATAAATTCGTGGCTCCTCTCTAGAATCCAGAAATAATTTTCGGAGCGTAGTTTATATTCAAAATGCAACGCGAGGCTTGCTCCTCGGAATTCGAACTTGTAGTAAAAGTGTGGAACCTGGAGACATATCTACGAACGTGTTTCCAGTCGAGAAGAAATTACGTCTACATTATTATCAAATGTCGCGGACGATTTTGCTCGTCCCGTTCGGATGATCGCGAAAGACTTCGACCGCGGGAGTCCGCGGCGGCGAGGGGGTGTTCCCCCTCGCGCCCACCCCGGACCGCTTCGAAACTAATTGCCAATTCCTTTACAGTCGCGGAGAAGAGACTCTACGAAAAATTTGTTTACTGCGAGCTAGTAAAATAGAAATCGTCGCCGGGTTCTTATTCTTCCGGCGTCTCCGAACCGCCGCCGCCCACGCTTCCGGTGGGGGTTTTGGTCGCAAGAGAAAGGGACAAGCGCGACTGTACAAAACGGCTATAAACACACGAAACTATTTACAGGAAAGAGACTGCTGACACGGGGACACGGTGCAGTTTTGTAGAGACTTTTACGCGCGGAGATCAACGGAAACAAAGTACAATCATTGGTCTTTTCTTCTTCTTCTTTCTTTCTTTCTTTCTTTTTTTCTTCTTTTTTGTTTTCCTTCAAAGGTCGCGCACGATCCCGTCGGCGACGGGTCGCACGGTTTCGGGGATCACAGAGGTAAAACGATCAAGACGAAAGGACAAAGATCAAAGGTGAGAGAACGGCACAAACAGTGTGTGGTGGACGCATTCGTAAAAGCCGGTTTCATAAACGCACGTAAGTTATGCAAGCTGCGAACAAAGGCGGCTCTGGACGAGGCTTCGAAAATAAAGAATCGCTTTCTGTATTGTCTTAATCCTAGCCTTAACTACCCTACACGATAGTTCTAAAGTACTCCATTAATGTTAAATACGCGGGCACGCGACTACGTCGACGGTTCCGCCTTCGCGTCCGAGAACCGGCCGGCCGGCCGCGGCTCGCCGGTAAATTAATCGAGAATAAATAATTCAGAATCGGGACGCGCGTGCCTCCGCGCAATTAATTCGCGCGTAATTGGACGTAACGTTGAAAACGTAATTTAACAACATCGCGGGAATAATTCCGCCGACTAATTGACGAATCTCGAAAAACTATTCCATTATCTCCGTAACATCCTCCCGGCGTACGCGCCCGGCTGTTACCGTGATTATAATTATAATAATGGATAATTTGTGTGGCGACTAATATAATAGACATTCAAGCATCTGGAATGCCATTAAAACTTAATTGTTGCGCGGCTGCGGGGAGCGCGCGGCACTCGTTAATCAAGTTTTAATAAAGTGCTTTCGAAAAAGAATTTTCACACAACATCTGCGCCGCGATTCAAGCCGGGATTAATTCGTTCTCAACGGCTGATGAAATGGTCCAAGCTTTTAATGGAGCTTCGTATTGAAAAACTCAATTTTCCACACCGCTGTTATTCGTTTACCCGATGCTTGGCAAATTGTCCATTTTTCAACGACGCCCCCGATGCCGAACGATTCGCGTATTTTCGTGCGGCGAGCTGCCGCGAATCGTTCGCGAGTCGCGGCTGGAGATACTTTCGAGAATTATGCACGCTCCATTCGTGTTTTCAAGGATTTCGGCGTCGGACTCGCTTTGTCCGAAACCGAAGAGATCGATGGGCCGCTGTTGCGTCGATGTCGCGAACGGCAGAAACGATAAAAAAAGAGAATCGCCGTTTTTTCGAGGTCGTCGAACCGTCGTCGAAGAGTTCTCGAACGCGGACAGCACCGTCTCGTCATCGATGCTCATAATTAGGGATATTAGCATCGTCGGAAGGGCGAAGCGGAACGGCCCTCGAGCGATCGAGCTCCGTTCGGCGTCGCGCGGGGCGCTTCGCGAAGCGCCTGCACCGTCTACGACTTTACAATCTTAAAATTCTCGCATCGTTGTTATGAAACCGGCGGAGATACTATCGTAGACAGAGAGATAGACGGGAAAACGAACACTTATTCGAAAGGAAAAAACAACGGACACACAGAGAGACGGACGTTTTGCCGCCGGCGCGTACACGCGCGCGCCATAAATGCGTACGCTGCCGCGAGAACGTGACGCGCATTCGGCGTCGTTGCGTGTCTTCGGCTTCTATGTACATACAAAAATAGCCGTCAATGGGGAACGCCGCCGCGAAACGCGTCGAAATCCACCCGGAGACCGGAAAGAAGGGACGTCGAGGAGGAACAGGAAAAGGAAACGGGCCGAGGACGCGTTAAAACTCCGCCGCCATTTGTTTTTTCGCCTCCGCCGACGTTCTCGTACGTGTGCTCCAAAATAACGATAACTCGCCGCTTCGGTCGGATAAACAATTTTCAACGTCGCTCTTCGCGAACAGAAGTTATCGTCAACCCTTTGCAGCGACTCTCGGGCGCGGCTGATAATCGTCGCGACGTCGCCGAGGACGAGTTTCGCGCTTTTCTGCTTTGAAGTGAAACGCGAGGGAGCAACGCGGAGATTTTTGAACCCGTTTTTCAAAGAAGAATCGAGAATCGCCCGGTTCATTCTTTGACGTGCCATTTTCTTATCGCGATCAGGAATTTCTCGACCGCAATAATTTCTCCGAAGGGGAAGAAAATCGATGTTTATCGCGTGCCTAAATTTTTACTCGAATGCTTAGGCATCGACGACAAGGGATCAGCATTTTGTTCCAATTTTGAAGGACTTTAACACCTGTACAAGTTTAGTAGTATTAGTTAGAAATTTTCACGGCGAGTCGGACCCGTTAAATTACGGCAAAGGGGGTTAAAAGGGAGGACTCGCACAGGATCCGTAGATTTTTCGGCACCGCGATCGAGTCGCCGAATTAACGGCGCAGCCGGTTAATGGTTCGTTAGCGTTTCTCGAGCTAAAATGTTTTTTTCCGGCGGCGTTCGAACTCGTCGAACCCTTCTCAGACCGATCGAACCCTCGGAGAGCCTCTCCACGCGCGACCGCCCTCTCTCTTCTCCGCGGCTCTTCTCCGTCTCTTCGGACGAGGCCCTCGGATTCATGTGGCATGACTAACTGCCATGACTAACGAGTTGGGCCAAGTGCCACCGAAGAATCTTGGCTAACCGACCGGGAAGGTGGAACGAAACGCTTCCAACTCTAATATTTCGCCTTGTCGCGGTGTGGTCTCGCTTTTCTTTTAATTGGTCCTTAATCTACTTCTTTCGCTGCTGCCAGCGACTCTCTGCTGCCGCGGCGGCTTCAACCTTGCTCTCGCCGGCCATTTATCCTTGTCCCTTCTGTTGGTAACGCGACAAACTAGGTGGAAGCCGAAGATCACCGATAAATTAATAGCCCTGAAACTGTTACCATTAAACGGCACCTTGTCTTCTCGGAATACAAAGCACCGCGTCGGCGTCTCGCCGAGATATCGGCGGACGCTCGACGTAAATTTCCGACGTCCGGAATCGTTGTACGAAGGACGAGGGCCGTCGCGCGTTTCCATTTGCTCTGAAAATTTTGTCGAACTCGCGAGGAACCCTTGGACTACCGTTTCGAGATTCGGCGAGCAGCTCTGTTTTTACCTTCGAACAAAAGATAGAGAAACGGAGAAATAGAGAGAGAGATAGAGAGACTGATGCATTTAGAAGAAGCGTCTTTAACAGGCAAGTTTGTACACCGTCGACGGTGCAGTTGCAATAAGAGCCCGATGCAAGAGGAACATCCGACTACGGCGGATGGAATCGACGAATTCAATCTCCTTTGATTCAAGTTCAGTATTTCGGTGCTCACCGGTTGTTTCGGATACCGTCTACGCGTTCGCCGGAAGTGAAACAGCGACGGATCGGAAGGACTTCGATAGCAACTCCTATATCGGTATATCCGATCGCGGGGGTGAGCGAGCGCCGAGGAGAGCGCTCGACGGGAAAATGAGATGGGAAATGAAAAATCCCGGGCCAAGCAGATCACGGCGCGGATCTGTCGTTGCGAGGAAGTTCCCCGGGCTGGATCGTCACGACCGATTGCTCGCGAATTCCGTATCGAAACTTGGAAAGTTCCGGCCGTGATGGACGGCCGAGGGGGTCCAGGGTGGTCGTAACGCGAGTTCTAGGTCAGTGGGATCGTCGCGCGAC